TGTGTGTGTGTGTGTGTGTGTGTGTGTGTGTGTGTGTGTGTGTGTGTGTGTGTGTGTGTGTGTGTGTGTGTGTGTGTGTGTGTGTGTGTGTGTGTGTGTGTGTGTGTGTGTGTGTGTGTGTGGGGGCCAAATGAGGGTGGCTGCGAGCGTACAGCCGGAGCTCTTATCTTTCTTTCGTCACCTTTTTTCAGAAATAAAGAACGAAGCAGAGAGAGCAGCTCAGCTCAAAATGATCATCTCTTCCTACCCCAAGCCCATCATCATTGTCATGAGATACCTCTTTGCATTCCTTCATCAGTGAGTATTTAGTGGGCTGTAGGGGTTACCCAGCAAAAGGAGGAATAGAATAGTTTAACTTTTATCACTTTTTAAAAAAAAAAAAAAGAGAAATTATTTATAGTGATGCTAGTTTGACTATGATGACTTTAAAAAAAAAAGTTTTTATCTACAAACCTAATAATTTACTCAGAGGAGATTCCTTAAGACAGAATCTTTTCTAATTGTGGGTCTGTGTTCAAATGTGGATCTATTGTGGGGATGCTGGACATGAAAATGTTTGGGAATCCAGATTCAGTATGTAGCATTTAGGAGGATCTATTTTTAGAAATGGAATATAATATTCATAGATATGTTTTCATTAGTGTATTGTCACCGGAATATAGGAATGGTTTTGTTTTTTGTTAGCTTAGAATGAGCCTTTTTATATCTACAGACACTGCAGATTGCCTTTCATGGAGTCCGTCATGTTTCTACAGTAGCCCGGGGCTGACAAACCAAACGCTACTACACCACTAGATAGGGGTGCTTTGGTACAACCATAGTTTCTCTTTCACGCTTGGAAGGCAAGGGTGAAGCGATGCACTTGCAATAATGAGAATGTGTACCTACAAAAAGAATTGAACAATCATTCACAGGAGGAAACCAAAATGTTTCCTTCTAGAAAGGGGAAGGACCACATTTAGTTTTTTTACCGTTAGTGGATGTCTTATTAGATCTGGTGAAAGTATAATGTATCAGGGATTTTTTTCCACATTGTCAACTACTGACTTCACACGTTCTATACACGTTGCAATAAAACTGAAGCAAACCAAATTAAAGGGGTGAAAATATTTGAATATAGTTTCAGCTTCAGCTTTGTTTCACTACTTGCCTCTCAACTTTCCATATTTAAGAAACTCTCTACTTCATTATATAATTTTGTGTTTCTCTGCCTCCAGTGTGTCTCAGTACAGTGACGAGAACATGATGCAGCCTTACAACCTGGCTGTGTGTTTTGGCCCCAGCCTGGTAAGAGGGGCTCACGATGATGATGTTGTCACCCTGCAGCCTCAGATCAATGCCCTGGTGAAAAACATCATCCTCCAGCACGAGAGCATCTTCCCCAGCCAGAGCGAAGTACAAGGACCGGTGTATGAGAAATGCATGACACTGGAACAGGATGACTGGTAGGAGAAAATATGTGCATACACAACACATACACACAACATGGATACAGTGTATGGTGCAATGATTATCTGTATCTTCACAGTGAGCCTATGATTGAAGAAGGAGATGTAGAAGCAGATTACACCCATAGCAAAGATGGTAAGTTTATGTGCTTGCCTTAATTGATCACTCCTGTAAGGCCGAGATGGTGTCTCTGAATAGAATAAAAGGATATAACAGAATGTGATGTGCTTACAGAGTTGGAAACAGGACACTCTGCTGACAACAACACCAGCTCGTCTGCAGCACCAACACAGAAAGGAACAGACCGTCCTAGAGCATACAGCAGCGGTGCAATTGACCAAAGTAGGTTGACAGGTGGTCCAGCAGGGGGCGGCGTCGCTTCAAGTGGGAAGTTAATGCTCCAGATTCCCATGGGGCCACAGTGCAGGCCACGGCGGGTCCACTCTCCTGGCTATGTGCGCAGAGAGTGAGTACCACTGAATGCTGCAGTGTTACAACTGATTTGTTATGTTTGTGTGAGAAATTAATCTTTTTTTTTTTTTTTTTTTCTTCTGCATACAGACTTCAGGAACACTCATCTTCTGAGGATATTACCAATCAAATAGACAAGGTCTGTCTTGTTTCTCATTTGGTTTTAAATTACTGGAATAAGTATTTTATTGAAGGGTTTGTCAGTTGTAACTAATGGTTTTAATGAGTTAGTTAATCAACAGCTTGCTCAAAAAAAAAAAAAAATCATCTGCAATAATAAATGTTAAGTCAGAACAATCGGTCAAGTCTGCAGTTGTAAATGTTGCAATTTGACAAGATGCTAATAAACAGATTTTGGTCCAGATGTTCTGAGCTAAAAAGATAAATCAAGTTTTGTAACTGAGGATGCTAGCAAAAGATTTTCACAACTTGGCAACCCCAGCGTTGTTAATGGCTTATAATTAATCCATAAAGCATTAGTTAATCTATTCACAGTCATTATGTTATTAGTTATAACTTACAAACCCTATTAGGACTGTCTTATTAGAAAGTGGCACTAAATTATTAATAATTTAATGACGATCGTACATTATGGCTTTTCTGTCAAACATAATCTGATGCTCTCGAGCAGAAGGGAGTGCAGAGAACAAAGAGCGTTTTGTCTTCTTCCTCTCTCTCATCACTATTGTTTATTTCATCTCACAGGAGGTCTGTCGCCAGATGGACTCGGTCTTCAAGGAGCTCCTCTTGCGGCAAGGGGTGCAGGATCCCACCTCCACCGCCTCCTCTCCCTCTGCCCAAGCTCCCCAGAAGAAAGGGAAGCGGGATGTACGGAGAGGGAAAGGAGCTGGGCTCTTCAAAGCAGCAGATCCACTGGACTGAGAGGACTGGCATCAGTAGATGACATGAGGAGAGGGGGAGAGAGCAAGATGATACAAATGAAAACTGAGTTGTAGGGTGATGTGCTCTGACAGTAGCTTTCAGCACATCTATTTCTAGAAAACTGAGATCACTGACCCATAGCCACTTCTCTGAGGTCCCTGCCGCACTGGGCTTCTTTCCACATGGTGGCTCCCTACTCAGAAGCCATTTCATTCATGGTTTTTTACAGCAGTACCCTTCTGTGACTGCAGTACAATGTGCAAACTGTGGATTACTTGAAATGCACAGATATGTTTGTGTACAGCTGAATGTGGTTATGCAACTATCTGCATCTGTGTAGGTGTTTATATTAAACTGGAAACAGTTTAAGACACATTTTCTAAGTGTTTTTTAGTCAGAACACACACACACACACACACACACACACACCTCTACATACAAGCAACACATTATTCATCAGAACATCTGTTCATGAGATTGAGTCACATGATTGATAAGATTGATAAGACAACTGTGAATCTGTAGCTGTATGGAATTTGTATATATTAATTATTTGTAACTTGGTTTACACTATATGATTTGTCTGTATATCTAGGCTACATGTCAAATAAATATTTTGTCTATCCTGACTGTTTTTTTTTTTTTTTTCTTAAGATATCAGGGCTGGGACTGTGGCATGTGTTTATAGCATTTTTTTTACTTTAAGCCTCGGTTATTGTGATGATAATAATATGATATAATTTAGTATCTAAATATTTCTTGTTTATGATTTCCATTTAGTGAAATAAGCTGAAGGTGTTTTAGACATGCCTTTCATATTAGTGTAACAGAATTATGAAATGAGAGAAACCCCAAACTGTATCATTAAAAAAACAAAAAGAAAAGGACTGTGAACAACATTAAGGTTAAAAAAAAAAAAAAAAAGTTTGAGCCAGTGTGCACAATACCAGGGCCTTGCTTTGAACTGGTACATGGAACTGAACGGAAAGCAACTATTATTAGTTACTGTCATTAATAACACTTGTGCTTTTGCTGCTATGACATGTCATAATGTCTATAAAAGGGGCTATTGGCGGCGTTGACAGACTCTCAGTTGGTAACTACACATTTCCATGAAACCTTTGAGAAAATGTTTTTAATTATATAAATATTTATATTGCTAAATTACTTGTAAGATAAACAATGGTAATGCACAAAGAAAATACCAGAAGGAAGAGAAAGAAAAAAAATTAAAATTAAAACATTAAACATTATGCTTTTGCACGGCTTGAGGTAGAAATTGTTTGTATATATATTTTTGGTAGGATTATAGCAAGATCAAGTCTTTATGAATAGTGAAGTCTTCTTATTTGTGTATACAGATCATTTACTTCATTTAAAGTTGTCATATAAAAATACTCCAGCAGAAGTGAGAAGTCCCACATTTAAAATCTTACTTAAATAAAAATAGGCCTATTGAGGTATTATTAGTAAGATTAATTAAAGTATAAAAGTAAAAATACTTATTAATTAACAGAATGCCTCCTGTCACTTTTATATTATTATATAGGTTTAGGTTTATACACATAATTTATAATAAGCATTTAATATTTGAGCTGGTTTAGCTGTGTGGTTAATTTTAATCATTTTATACACTTTTGGGCAGTGTGTCATATTTTATAAAATTATATTTTTCAATGCAAAATAAATTGTATGGCTGTCAGATCAATGTAGTGGAGTAAAAAGTACAATATTTTGCTTTAATATAGGGTGGAGACAAACTATAAAGCAGCATAAAATGGAAATAGCCTGACGTTAGGCTACAAGTACCCTAACATTGTTCTAAAGTAGCTGCAGTAGGCCTACGTCAGTAAATGTACTTATTCCACACTAAAACACTGTAGCAACTGTCAGCACTTTGGTCAACTTTGGTTGTTTTTAAAGTGCTTAACAAATAAAGTTGGATTGGATTGGATACCATACAGCACCTATATCTAACATATCATAATCATATTATAATATATCACGTTGAAATATATTTAGCAAATCAGACGTGGTACAACTTATAATAATAATATCTTAGAATGATTAAAATCTAAAGCACATTTATTACATTTCAATAAATCCTATCAGTATCCTCTATTTTGATTCAGATGACGTGTCAACTGAGTACCTTCCCAGAATGCTTCGCGGCGCAACAGTCCACGTCATGCAGGCGCATGCGCAGAGGCGTAGCAGCGGTGAGCTGAGGTGGACTTCTTCCCTTTGCTCAGTGTGACAGGAGCAGTGTAGTTCAGCAGCAGGACCTCAAGAACGACTCCTAACCTCCCAGAGAACCTGTCAGACGCCACGATGATCCGGATAGCCGCCCTCCTCGCTCTGCTGGTGGTCACCTGCTCGGGTGAGTCAGCGGGGGGATCGGGGGGATCGGGGGGAGAGATCTGCCGGGGTTAATTAGCCTGTAATGCTAACCAGCCTTAGCTAGTGGCTCTGCCATTGGTCTTCTAAGTTAGGGGTGGTTTAAAGGCTCAGTGACACCTGTATTCATTGTTAATGCCGTGCGGACGATGCATTGGTGTCCGAGATATGAGCTAACCTCAGCTGTGCTCTGTGACTACAGGAGAGAGCTGCACAGACCCGGCGATCACTCCGTCGGCCTACACCACCTCCGACGCCGTCATCTCCTCTGAGTCTGTCTTCATCGTTGAACTGAGCCTGGCCTGTGCCAACGGAGCACAGGTAACAGTCCTATCTCCAGCACTTCTAACACACAGGCGGATTGTATTGATGTTATTGAGCGACTGACTGTCTGGTGATCATTGTTTGTCCTCCTCAGAGTGTGACTCTGTATGCTGATGTCAATGGAAGACAGTTCCCTGTGACTAGAGGCCAGGATGTTGGCAAGTACCAGGTATGGTAGTGGCTTCATATGTGTACTGATTTAAGGCTCTTATTGTATTGGTTGTGTTTTATGGTTGCTATTAGAAAGGCTAAGATGGATGATTTAATATTCCATAGCTCTGACCTAACAAAATCTAATCATTTATTCTTTATTAATTAAGTACATCAAAAAACTTCACTTACTTACTTTCATAGAACCTATCAAATGTTTAGCAAGAATTTAAAATAAATTATTATTGGCTCATAATTCATCGACTAGGAATGATACATGATAAATATAAATATATAAACTATATAAAACAACACCTGAAACACTCAACTATACCTTTCTGACATATATGTTGACAATCTGACAATCTGACCAGCCTACCACTTCAGACAGACAGTGACCAGTGTGGAGATGTGAATTCAGAGTTTGACCTTCTGTCTTTTATTCGGCACACAACTTCTTCTGTCACATTTTGACTGAATGACTGAAACGCGTTGTGCACTGTTAGAACAGGTCCTCACATTTCGGCCCTTTCTATTACAGCAGGATTTTCTCCTTGTCTTTTAGTGCGGCCATTCAGAAAAGCTATAAACACTTTTCCCTTCTGTTTGTACATACTTAATCATTTTGAACATACAGCCTTAATCTATTACTGCACTTCCTTATTATTGTGCTTATAGTTTTTTCTTACTAGTTAATTACTTTTAAACAGGTTTATTTGGCATTTTAATCCTGTTCAGCACTGGTTCTGGTTGGTTGGTTGCTTTAATTATCCTATATAAATAAATTTCACCTTGACCTTGAGCTCAGCAGCCTATAAACACACTCCACAGCCTCTCAGAGAGGTGTGAAAGCTTTTAATTTAGATACTTCTACATAAACCTGCCATTTAACAACATGCAACTTCTTTCCTCAGGTGTCCTGGAGTCTTCCTCACAAACAGGCCAGCTCTGGAACATATCAGGTCAAATTCTTTGATGAGGAGTCCTACAGTGCTCTGCGCAAGGTTAGTGTTTGATGCAAAGATAATCATTGATTACTACCAGTGAGCTCCACTTATTGTGCAATGTACTGTCTTTTTAAGAAAAGGTTTGTGCTGTTTAATCTGAATTATATGTGTAAATCTTCTTTGTTCCAGGCCCAGAGAAACAATGAAGATGTAAATGCCATTGAGCCTCTCTTCTCTGTCAACATTGACCACAGGGTGAGTCTCTTACGGGCATGACTTGTGTATGAAATGTGTCACTTGAAATGATTAAAAACAAAGAGAATTATCAGCCCACTCTGCAGTTGCCCTCAGCTTTAGGGAGCTTTATAGCATCTCTCAACTCATTGTTTCATTTTACTGTTTTAAGCTGCTGTTTGCAGCAAAAGAGCACTAAAAACCTCTGAACAGAAGTTAGTGAGCCGCTGGTGGTGCATTTAGCAGATATTTGCCTCAGGATACAGTGGAGACCAAAGGCAGAACTAAAGGAGAGTGATTACTGGACTTTTATTCACTAAGGGAACATAAACACGACTCCCAATGAATAGTAATGTTGCTCTGTATCTGCTGGACGTCATGTAAATAGCCAACTTAAAAGGTGATAATATGTCAGTGCTGTGTTTATTGTTTTTTTTCCGGTGCCAAGAGGCCAAAAAAGGTTAGGTTAGTGTATTATTCCTCAAGTCCAGAGAACATATTAAACATATAATGAAATCATTTATTAGAAATAATCCAATTAGAATAAGCATTTTTCAAATTGTTTCAATATTAGATAAGTATAAGTAGTCCTGTAGGATTCCTCAGTACAACATTACTACTGTAATTGATTTTATTGTACTGAAAAGGTAGGACAGTCCATTAATAATGTTATACTGTAAGAATGACTCTGATCGGTCATTGTGTACTTTGTGAAATCACCCCGTGTTGCTTCAGGCTCAGAGTTTTCCTAGAGCCAGGTGAAACTGTAATGTGTAGTTGGTCATAATGTGTTTACTCCTCTGTAAACCTGCAATGAGTCTTTTTTTTTTCTTTCTTTTTTTTAATTAATCTCTCTCAACAGGGTGCGTGGAACGGCCCATGGGTGTCTACTGAGGTGGTGGCTGCACTCATTGGTATTCTGTTCTACTACATGGCCTTCAGTGCTAAGAGCACCATTCAAGCATAAACAGATTCACAATCACAATTTAACCACTGGATCAAAAAAAGACTGAATTCTGGTGGCACTCGACCAACGATCCATCATCCAGTGTGTTGGCAAGCCAATAGGATTTTGCCACATGGTCTGCATTGGGACGAGGAGCAAGAGTAGCAGTCTTTGTATTTCTTTATTCAGACTGTGTCTGTATGCTATCAGTCTTATCTTATCAATTTACAGATGAATTTCGTTGCAAGTTTGTCTTGTCAGTATGGATGGAATTTTGTAATCTTTTGATAAACCAAACAATAAACCTGGACCACTTAAATAAAAAACAAAAAATACAAATCAGATCATGTATTGTGTTCAGTCCTGCTTCAAAGATGTTGCTACATCCAGATCGGATTATCATTTTTCCCTCTGTGTGGATGGTCGGAATGGGACTTACAGATGTGCTGATCCCCAACTGAGAGAAGTCAAGACCTTTGCATATGAAATGTCAATAATGTGACCTGCACTGACTGGCCTGAACCGGCCTAGTGTATTTGTCTCTTCCAGTAAAATGAATAAATGGCTTGTTTTTCTCCAAGTGTTTTGTGTTGGTTCATGTGATAGTCCAGTGACAGACCGCCTCTTCTATAAATTCCTTTTACTCCAAGACAGACTGGAAGGTTTGTGGTTTCTTGTTCCATAGCAACATATGTCAACTATGAAATTTTCCCTGGTTGTCAGTGGTAAATTGGCAAATAGTCTGGATTATTCAACTATCCCTGACCTCATCTTGATCAAACGATAACTCGTTCCAAGCGGATTTAGCTTTCACAGACTTAATTGCTAGAGGGATGAAAGATGGTTATACAGCTTTTCTTAAGAGCTACAGTTTCTGTGCTCCATTCAATATCTCATCTGATAAACAGTTTATAAAAATATCCATTAAGATGTACACCTCATGTACTGATGGAACATTTCTGCTACTATGAAATTAATTTATTATTTTTAGCTTTTAAAACTCTAACCCCAAGTACACATTTGATAAGATCGATAGTACTTAACAAAACCATGAAGAAAAACTCTGTTGTTGATGTAAACATGTTCAGCTAGAGGGTTGTGGCTGAACTCTCAGTGGAAATTACTGCTATTTTTGTCTGCAGAGGAGAGGCATCACTGTCCCACCGGCATTCCTAGATAGTCAAGGAGAGGTACGTGTACGACCACAGCAGCACACCCGCAGCTGATGGCCTGTCCTGTTTTCTCTCGATGTGCACCAACAGACCACTCGGTATACGTGTTTAATCAGTAAAAAGGCGCTGGAGCTACTTACCTTCCTGACCTGCTGCAGTGCAGTGCCACCAGTTGAACACACTGGGGCAGTTCTGTGCTGCTTTTTAAACCTGCTAGATTGAGAGTGAAGCCAGCTATTACCTCATCATGGACAGATTACACATGCTTTTTACTGATTTAATATCAGCTGGTGCTAGTGTTAAGGCAACAAATTGCAAATAACACACTTTGAGCCACTCTTCTGTTTTACATCCACTCCACTCTAGTTTGTCACATTTATTGGTACTTAGAGCAATCTCGTGCTTATGAGATCTAGTTTGTTAGAGAGATTTAAATTTAGCTTGTCTATTTCTGTATCAGACTCGGATCTGTCTGTGCACCCACTGTACTGCACTCAGAGTGTAGCACAACTGCAACTTCTCTCCGACTCCTGTGAGAGTAACGTAAACTTAGTATACGGGTAACATGATCCACACACACATAAACACTGAGGAGTGCACAGAGTGCACAAGAAGTTTCTCATATGTCTGCTTTTCTGTAGCTTTGTCAGCACAAACACACACACACACACACACACACACACACACACACACACTCTCTCTCTAATGGTGTAAGCACACCTCAGCCTCTGTCTTCTGTCACTTTGGTAGAGAGACAATAGACACACCACAATGTTGGTAATTCAAAGAAGACATGAGCTGGATGGAATCCAGACACTCCCTCATGGAGTCACCTATTAGACTGTGGGAAGTGGGGGACGGTTGGATGGAGGGATATAAATGGAATGAGCAAACAAACAGTCAAAGAAGGCCAGTGAGTCGATGCTGACACAAGACTCTTCCTCCACTTTGTTGTGTGATTGGAGTTTAAAGTGCTTGACTCCAGCCCACACATCAGGGCAGATAATTGCGGATGTAGTATGAAATATTTTGAGATTGTTGTTGTTTGTTGGGTTAGGGTTAGGGTTGTTTCAGAGTGAGTGTACTCACAGGAAGTCACAAGTTATTCTTCTAATGGTGAATTGTTAATCTGTAGATTTTTGTTTTTTCTGTTTCAGGCACTAATTTACAAGGTCATATAAACAAACGCATCTGAGTCACAATTATTTTTACATTATTACACAACACTTCTTTAAATTTTGATTGACCAATGCAGAGTACCTTGTTTGTCATTAGTAGTATCACATAAGACAGTTTTACTGAGAACTTGGAGTTAATGTAGAGGTGTGTGTGTATGTGTGTGTGTGTGTGTGTGTGTGTGTGTGTGTGTGTGTGTGTGTGTGTGTGTGTGTGCGTGTGTGTGCGTGCGCATGCATGCATGTGTGTGTGTGCTGTGAGGCAGAGAAAAGCTGCTCTGACAGAGGTGTGTAAAACACCAACTCCGGGGGCAGACACCAATGGGCTTAGTGAGATTCAGCAGTGTGGAAACTGGCGTCGCACAAACTATTCTCACATGAAGTCACACTTATACTGTCTCTGCCATAAGCGTTGTTTTAACTGCTCGTTCGTCACACTTTTTGAAAAGCACAACAAGGTCAACAAACTGTGGGCTATAACTAAACACTTTGAAAACAGACTGTATCTTTTCATGCTGGCTTCCCCTTCCTTACACTACAATAACAGTTATTGTTCCGGTTATTTCATGGATGTGTATGTACAGTGAGGTATGTTTTATGTATAGCTGCTTTAACCACAACAGTTTGACTGTGTTTGGAGTGAATAAACTCTCTGTCAGTTCCAAAGCTTTTGTGCATTCCCCTTTGTTATCTCCCTCTTCCTGTCCTGTTTGGGCATCCTCTAATCCGCTTTGCCTGTTGATGCAGTTGCCAGTCAAGAACCAACCATATATGGGGAAATGCTCTTTTCTCTCTTAAAAAAAAAAAAAATTCTTGTCCTTGATCATATAAGACATCCCCTTCACATTTCACACTAAAAGGTCAACCACAGTAATGTAAGTAAGTAAGAGCATTTTTTGTATTTACCTGCACTGCTCATAGTTGGCTGGGAGCCATGAAATACTGTAGGTTAAACAGGAGCAGACACATCACAACAAACCATTTTCTTGTGCATAAATCCTGTGAAAGCCTGTTGAACGAGCTCCCATAAAATGGATTTTATCAGACTCTGTCCACATGCCTGTTTTTACAATGAAGAAAAAAAATTATAGGGTCTTGTTGAGGTGTGAACACAACCCCGCTTTAAGTAATGAAAACAAGGTGGGCGAGAGTGATAAAAGCTAACCTTGATCCCGCTGGCTCTCATATGTATGAGGCAAGAGTTTTTGCAGAATCATAATTGCTGCCAATAAAAATAAAAGTGTGGCTATATTTGGCAAAAACCACCTTGAAACCAGTTGCAGTCAAACTGTTGTTGTAAATAAAGGCAATGTGTGCAGATGCCTTTTATGTCAGAAACATATATTTCCCAAAATAAACTCCCAGCTGCTTTGACAGAAAATGATAAGACAAAAAATCAAGTTGAAGGGAGAGAAAGAGAGAACTTTTGTGTTTTGAAAAGGCATGATAAATTGTCTGGCTCATTTTTTGTCTACTCTGTTTATAAAGTAAGATGCTTCAGTGCTCTCTGCTAACACAGACACTGGAGCTGATTGTGTAAGTTGGTTGGGGCCAGATATGCCTCCCGGTGTCTTGGAATAAGCTTGATAGCAGCCACGGTACTCATCGGGTCCGCGGAAGGGTCTTGAGTGAAGCAATGCAGACACATTGCTTAGTGTAGTAAAGCTCCTGGCTCCAGATCTGATTTATGCCGACTTTGGTCAAGGCTGGGCAGCTCTGTCATTCTTCAGAGCCACTGCATGCACTCCTTGGCTGACCCTAAATTGATTTGATGGGGGAAGTTCACCTATTTTCCTGCCCTTGTGACAGCCACGCAGAGGGCTCATTTATTTCCCTTAAACCCCATCACAGCCATGGGGCCTGGCAGGAAAAGCTCTGCCCCACTGTAATGAAGAAGTGACCTTGAGTTTAGACATCAACCTCGCCTCAGCTTCGAAACCATAAGCATCCGGATATTCAGCATAAACGCACTCACGCTGACACACACACACCGCAGGATTACAAAAAGCAGTAACCTACCCTATAGACCATCTATCATATGCTCTGACGGGGGGGGGGGGGGGAATGGTGGTTGGAGCGATAATAGCTACTGCCAGGTCTTCTATCCTCAGGAAACAAGACAGAGTCAGAAAGAAATTATCTGCAATGATGGGTATAATTTTAGTGTTCGTGTCAGCAAATTCTCAATTTATTGGAGAACATTCATTATTTAGCTGTTGTAATGCTCTCTAATGGCTGTACGGACAGTATATTGCACAACGAAAGTGTGTTTGGCCTCTTCCGTAAATCTGGATGGATCTGAAGTCTGACCCTTTCAGCGGAGAAGAATCTTTTAACCTCTCAACTTCCTGACAGGAAGAGGAAAATACATGAACACCCCGAGGGTTTGGGAGAAGTTCATTTATTTCCTGATATAACAAAGTCAGACACGGGACGTTGTTGCTGTAGCCTTTCATTTGGCAGAGAATCAAAGTGGAGGCTTCTGCCTTGGGAACATATTCACAGTGGCGTGCTGAAAGCCCAAACACTCTGGCCACACAGAGGAAAAGGTGAGGCTTCTCCTTCAACACAGACGAGTTCTCCTGAGACACCTTGAAAGTATCCCAGTATTGTCCTGCAGACTTGCATTACATATTGCTCTCTCATGAAAAAAGGATGTGCTGAACCGGCTCAAAATGAGTGAACAGCAATTTTTTGGGGAAGAAATAAACAGTTTGCATTATTTTCAGAAACATCTAGTTCGAAATTAATAGTTTGACCACATACAACAAATCTTATTTTATACACACATAAAGTTATCACATCTACTGTATGTACAGTAGCTTATATAATCGTAAGTTTATAAAAAAAACATTACTTTTCTATGTCTGTCATGCAGTTGAGGGGCATAATACATTTCTCTTTTAAAGTGTGATATAAAAACTGTACATGAACATAAGGCAGAAACAGGAACTGAAATATATATATATGTGTGTATATTTTCATTTATACAACAATAAATAAAAAGATAAAGGAACACGTGGCTCATGGTGTGATATAACATATTCAATTATTCCTGCTCTGGTGGTAGCTCTGTCTAAGAATAACATGGCTGACATCATTCAAAGATGAATCCAGTGAGGGAGGCCCCTCTACAGATGTCTTTTGATAATACAGGCACTTGGTTTGACTGGGAGTGTGTTCACTTTATATATCTTATATCTGCTGAAGCTTTGTAACATTACTACTATTAAGACCTGAACTGACTTCATAGTCAAGCTTTAAAAAATCTTTGGTTTGACATCTCCCACTACACATATCGGACCATTACAAATGTATGATTTACATTCAACATTCATCTTACACAGAATGAAATTATATCTAATGTGCCTTACATTTTAAATAAATATACTTTACATTGTTGTACTTCACTGTACATGGAATGCTGTTGAATGTTTCTCATTTGTTCCTGTGTCTCCTGTTTAACGTTCAAGAGAGCATGACAGGAAGGTAATTTGGTGTACCTTATATGCTGTGTTTGTACAAAAATACAATCACATAATTGTGTCCCGGTTGGTTAAGGAAACCTGGATTGTTCATTTGTATTTTCCTAGGTCTATACCCCTCCTTCTGTCTGCGTTAACCCATGGTATTCCAGTTCCTCATGGTGTCTTGACTCTACTGCACCGTCCTCATGAGTGAATCTCTGTCCATCTTGCTTACAAATCAGTATTGTTCTTTAGAACCGGATTCCTCCAGAGTGAATATGAATTCAGCCTCAAGCATCCATCTGTAATCCACTTTCTTTGATTTAACAAAGTTTGTTCACATTATTAGATTTCAACTGCAGCCTTCTCAGGACCGCTCCTGCAGCAGTAACATCCATGTCATCCCCTGTCTGGTCTCAGTCCAGCAGCTGTCTTGCTCTCTCTTGCTGTCTGTATGTGTGTCTCTCTCTCTCTCTCCATTTCCCTCTGCCTGCTGCTTTGTTTTCTCTGCACCCACAGCTTTGTCTGCTGCTTTGTACATTAGGCGTGCCGTAAGGCCATTAATACAGTGATCCACCCCTTGCATTCCTACGGCTCTGCTCTGTCTGACCGGGGCAAGAGTTTTCGTCAAATGAATCAATGCTCAGGGTCCTGCACAACTGCAGCTGAAGTCTCTTTACTTTCAAGGACATTTGACATTGCAGATAATGTCACTGACTGCCACTGTACAGTATATTCCAAAGTGCCCTCGTAAAATGGTGTTGACATCTTCAATGACACCCTTCCTCACTGCCGGGGTAGAGATGACAGGTGATTACAGATAGATGTCCTGTTGACAGTACAGCTGTCCTTTGTTGTTGGAAACATCTGGTAGAGGTCAGCACTCTCAGTTCTCAGGCTGTGATGCTGGAGGTGGTGGTAGTGGTGGTGACAGAGTTGTGTGCAATAACACGTCCTTGCAATGGGTCCACATACACATAATGTCATTTCAAGTCTGTCTCTTTGTTTCTGTCTCATCAGTCTCTGTCAATATAGGCTGTCCTTGGTGGTGGAGGTGTGTGTGGTGGTGGAGTCGTCGGGCAGGGAGCCCCGGCGGCCGGGTCCCGACCGACAGTGCAGCAGGTTCTGCAGCTCTCTGGACACGCTGCTGGAGAAAGCTGTGTAGATCCACGGGTTGGTGCACGAGTTCAAACTGGCCAGCAGCATCAGGATAGTGAAGGCCACTCCTACAAAGGACACACACACACACACACACACACACACACACACACACATTACAATAACTATAAGATAAGTCCATAAACACATACACACATAAAAATTTGAATTTTTGTTTGTGTTTATGACGTAGAACATTCCTCCAACTGGGGACAGATGGGCATAGTAGTACACCACATTGTTCTCTTCTCTCTTATGTAACAAACACATATCTTCAACAAATACTTTTTGTTTCAATATAAACTATTCTTGTTTATTATTTTTCATTTTATTTCCTTCAGGTAGAGCAACAGGACTGTAAATAACCCAGAGGGATTTCAGTTTTCCTCTGTAAATAATAAAAGTAAGTATTTTATGTAATAGTAAAAGTTCACACCACTGCTGCAAACTGAGGACAACAGGCAAGGACTGTGATCTTTTACATACACAGATACACACAAATAATCATGTCTGTATTGTATGTTTTGTAATGTATGTATGATTTTTAAAATAAGTTTGTTTATTCAGAATCTTGTTAAATTATCCTTTATTGATCCCCATAGGCAAATTCTATTTTCTGCATTTAACCCAGCCTGAGGAACAGTGGGCAGCCACTGTGCAGTGCTTGGAAACCAACTCCAGTAGACAGGGAAATTAGCCCAATTTCACGGAGTGTATGTGACTAAAAGTCTGTTTAAGATTCATCAGTACAGGCAATAGCACATTTTTGTCATGTGGTAAGATTAGACAAAAAAATATATTTTTATCTGTGTGAACATTCACAGAAAAGACACCAGCACTCACTTTAGAGTACACAGAAATGAGTGTCTTTTTATTTAAATTAGTATCTGTTGTACAGAGGTTAGGTTAGGCTGGTTTATGACCTAATCTAAAATAAGCCCCTGGTAGTCTTGTGGATGGTCAGGCAATAAGACAGAAACAGCACAGTTTTATTTATTTATCAGTTTCTGCTGTTTGAAGTTTGGTTCCTCTGTTTCTGTTTCTTACTTTCATCGCATATGTTTATGAGAGGAGGCGAGATAGGACCCTTTAAGGTAAGAAAAACCAACATTTCTGTGTTTGCACATCATGAGCAAACCTTTGTTTCCATGCTCCGAGCATTATTATTATTTAGTGTGTGTGTGTGTGTGTGTGTGTGTGTGTGTGTGTGTGTGTGTGTGTGTGTGTGTGTGTGTGTGTGTGTGTGTGTGTGTGTGCTGTGGGGATAGGAGCTGTCTGCCAGTAAGGACTCACTCATGTGTATGCATACTTGCATCTGCATGTGAGTGCACTTTGTATATGCATGTGCGCATGCGTGTGAGTGTGCAAGCTTACATGCCTCGCACCGTGTGTCTGCTTGTGATTTGGACTATGTGTGCGAGCTGCTGGCAAGTGATCATTGTTGATGAAATGTCAGCATCTGGCAGTGTTGCAAAAGCAGCAGGGGATATAAGCAGGTTATTTACTGGCCACTGATGTTTGTCTTTAGCCTCAGGACACCCACTCAGTCCATACTGTCAGCCACAACTTAGGGCTACACAAGTGTTTCTTGCTCCATCACTGGCTGCAAGTAAAGACATCAACAGATGCTGTTTGTGTGCAAAAATGTACAGAGGCCAGAGATGTCATCCAGGAAGTTTCTGGTCGTAGGTCAAAGCAAACATTGTTTTTGACCTTGTATTTCACTCACTGTTACCACATCTGAGCTGGAGCGAGGTGTCCTTGGAATAATGAGTGAGATCGTGTTTAGACTCACTAAGATGGACAGCGGCATTGATCAGAGATTGCTGCTGTAAACCAGACCTGATTGTTTTGATTTTGTTTTTGGCTGCCTATAGTGCAAAACAGATAGGGGTTTTGCACATTTAGGACCATTAAATGGATAAAATGGGCTAATGAGGCTCAATCCATCTGAGAAAAACAACTTAAGTGATTCACTGGCAATGGTTATGACCCAGATGTCTGTTTTTGTTGCTTTTTGAGGCTGAATTGCTGACATAGGTGAATGTTGCAATGCGGTACCCCACCCCTGAAATCAGGTTGACTTTGATCAAACAACAGACATGACTAACCTTGGTCTGGAGGGTTGGGGTCCCAGGCCGCCCAAAGCTGGACGATGAAGAAAGGTGACCAGCAGATAGTGTAGACCAGCACGATGACCAGGGTCATTCTCACTGTCTTGGACATGGCTTTCGTGATGCTCGGAGGCGGAGTGGCTGGAGGGTGAGGAGGGGCATAGTCAAGGGAGCAACGAGGTGAGCCTGAGGTCAGCTCATAGGACGTGTAGGACTCCTGGCAATCTGAGCTGTTCAGTGTTTGCTGTTGTGTAGGTGATGTTGATGTTGTCACATGTTCACCAGGGCAACTGTTATATTGAATAGCGGCTGGTACATAGTCGTAACACTCGCCCACTTGGCTATTATTGTGAGGGTTGTTATTCACACCCTTTAAGAGCTGTCCTCCTCTCCCATCCCTGCCCCCTCCTCCTGATGACCGCCTCCCCCTCTCCCTGGCCCGCTCATCCTCCTTCTTAAATCCGTGGAAGCGGAAGAGGATTTCGCTCTTCTTCAACTCAGCCATCACCATTCTCTCTGACTTCAGGTAGATGTTATTGTGAATCTCTCTGAAGATTCTTATCTGAAAAACAATATTTTCAAGCGCAGTTTAATATGAGGAAAACAAGGCATTGCATCATTCAACGACCTAAGGGCCTGCGGATTAAGTTTTATGACTGGCACGTGCCAGATTCAGATGCTTGTCTTTGCTCTTTGCAGACAGACATTTTTTCTCTAACAGTGACAGGATATTTGGACTGAAAGAGAGAGTGTGTGTTGGCCTTCACCATCAGCCATAAACCAGTGTCAGACATTTTTATGGACTACCACTATTACTCCACTCTGTTCGAATCAGAAAAGCTACCATAAAATTATATTGCAGCAAAATGATTCTTCATGCTCTCTTGAGAAACTAAAACAATCATTTTAAATCAAGTAATAACAAGCGAGTCATACTATTTTGATCTTTTGATTGATTTTAAGGTGTATTACTGCCAACTGTTGCTATTCTTTGACTTTTAAAAACAGCATTTTATGAGAGTATGTATAGAAAGTGCACTCCAATCCACAACACCATACAGTATATACCGACAGTACATGTACTTAATCGGCTCATTTGAAACTTGAATGAATGACTTCCTTCTTCCAGTAACTTCACCATACTTCTGAAAAAGTGTCTAAAGAGGCCTCTCAATTTGAAATTCGATAATGAAAAAAGGTCAGGGATTCTATGTTTGGCCGAGATCTGGTACATTCCACTTCCTGGCAGGAGGTTCTCAGAGTGGGCAGATTTTCTGAGCAGCCGTCTCAGCAGTGGTCTTCCAAGTGCTGTGTTAATTAGGGGAAATAGCTGGACCCTGGAAATATCTTTCCCTAAATAGAGCAGCAGGGCTGATGGGAGGCAGCCCAGAATGCCTATCTGCCATGGGATGCTACATAACACCAACCACAGTCCCCCTTGGGTTATCGAACAATGCCTGCCAAACGCGCCCTCGATGAAAACAAAACAGAATTTCATTCATGCCACACGCTTCATTATTGGATAATGTTGCCTACAGCCTGTAATCCTATTCAGTTGTGCATTGTGGACAGTACAATTATTGAGAAACCAGCCAGTAAAACCAGTACTACCTGACAGATGGTAATGATGAGGGCGGGCAGGAGGAAGACTGCCACAGTCATCCAGGTGACGTAGGCCTTCAGACCCCACGGCTCAGCAAAATGGCCCCAGCACTCGTACTCTCCAGGAGCCACTTCTGAGCGAGAGAAGATGAACATCTGACAGACCGAACAAAAGGAGGTGGTCAGTACACCCACAGACATGACTGTCAGTTTTCTTTTCCATTAACTGAACTGCAATGGCCTCATTGAGCTAAAAATAGACCGACATCTTGAGTTCTACTGTAGCAATCAGGGTGTGAGCACCCGCTGGGCTCTCATTTCCTATTTCACCATGTGTTTTTTTGTGACTGTGTGTGTAATTGCGTGTTAGGTATTGTTTGGATGCTTGTTCACTCCTCCCTACCTGCGGTATGCTGAGGACTAGGGCCAAGCCCCAGGCCACCATGACAGGGGTGTTCCAGCGGGACATTGCTCCCCCACGGTAAGCCTGCAACGGGCAGCAGATGGCATGGTGCCGGTCTACTGTCATGGCAACTATCATGTAAGAGGAAGCAAACATGCCCACAATCTGCAAGTACTTGATGGACCGGCAGAGCAGGTCAGGCCCCTGAAACCTCTCTGTGATGTCCCAGATTAACTGCGGAAGAACCTGGAAACACAGATTTAAAAAAAAGAGTTATTTATATAAAAGCTGCTCCTGGAAATGTAGAAGAGGACGAAAGGTTATAGTTAAGTCTAGTGATATTCTGTTTTTCTGTTATTGTCGAAAAAAGACCAAAACAAACAAAGAATTGATCATGTGTAGCCCAAACCTGATATAAAACATTAAAAAACATCAATGAGCACTGGCACTGACCTGTTCTTTAACTACTATGAAACACGTACACCTGCTGCTGCTGCTGCTGCTGCTGCTGCTGCTGCTGCTGGTGTAAACACTTTCTAAAGCACCAAATGTGTGTTCATCTGAAACTGAAAATAGTATGCTTGAATAGCATTTGCTGAAAACTAAATTTACCTACATGTCTGTGAGCTCAGAAATTAGCCAGATTTCCATCTTTAGCAGTAGTAGTAAGAAGAGTAAGAGCCACAGACAGGGTGGGAAAGTCACAAAAGTATTGAGAGACAGTTGGTCTTTTTATTGGATTTGTTTACAATAAAAAAACAAACATAGAAAAGGTCTTAAACTAGCTGTGACCAGCTGAAACACCTTACAGTTCAGCGTAGCACTGAATCCAATACCTCCTTACACTGTGTTGCCAATCAATTCAGGCAGTATACCACCAGTCACGTTTAAACCACAGTTACAAAGGCAGCTACACAAATAAGTCCAATTAAATTTGGAGCAATTTGCAATACATCTTAAATAGATGTTATAACAACCTTACTATTAAAAGGCCAGATGAGGCTTCCTGATTGATGGTGCATGACAAATAATATGGTAAGAGGAAAACCCTAATACCTTAATTGTAATTTAATAATTAATTTTGGAAGAATCTTTAAGGAGAGAGTCTTATTTAGAAGTTTCACATGATGAATGTTAATTTTTTATAAATGAATTTAATACTTCCTGCAGTGGTCTCCAGTTAACTGACCTGAAAGAGGGCCACCACCAAGTCAGCCACACACAGGTTGACCATGAACACATGCATCGGAGCATTGTGCTTCCTCCTCCTCAGCAGCACCCACAGCACAAAGCTATTCCCCAGGGTGGTAAGAGCCAGCACCAACCCAAGCACTGCAATCTCTGCCCGGGCCAGGCCCAGGTCCCTCGGCCTGGGCTGGGGCAGGGTGTGAGGCGTGGTGGTGGTGGAACCATTCTCAGGGAAGATCCCAAAGAAGGATCCCCCGCTGTGGGAACTATTGAGGGAGTTCAGCTCAGACACAAACAAAGACGAGGAAGAGAAGTTGTTCCTTCCTGTGGCGACCAGAGAGGAGAGGGCTAACCCATCCCAGTCCGTTTCCACACTGATGCTTTCCATTCCTGAAAGACAAACAACGTGTTAATGTGGAAAAGCCAATAAAATCTTGTTTTTCTGGTTTGTTTAAATGATGCCCTGTGCTAAATGGTGATCAGAGGTCCAACTGGTGCAGGGTCATAAGACTGTCTATATACAGATTTTACAAAGAAAACATTTTATCAACAAACAATTTACTTGTTCTGTATTATCACAATATCAGTATCATGTCTGACCTCGTTATTAAATTTCCTCCAATTGCCCTCAAATTTGTCAGCTGAGTAATTTTGTACTTTTCCTTATCTAACCACTGAGAATCCAGACCAAAACACTTTGGTCTTTTATTTAAAATACATGTTGATGCAGACATTAATCACAGGGACTCTTTGTTTTCGATGCATTTGTTACACTTTCACATCGTACACCACAAATAGCTTCCCTTATGCAATTTTATTAAATGTGAATGAAAATAATGAAAGCCAGAGCCTGTACCAATCATGCTGCCATGTGAATATTGTTGTGTTTTTGGTGCTGTCTCCAATTTTTTAATAAGGATTCAGTGTGTCTGTTTATCCATCTCTCAAAGCTTCAAGTTCTGTTTGACGCAAGTCCAACGCGGTTTATTTTCTTTTTCATATTTTCTCAAGGTTGATTTGACAGCTTTCCCCCTCTCTCCCACCACTCTTATTCCTTCACCTCCGCTCTCATAATCGCTCTCATCCCATGCTTACCCCCATACATTCCTGTTTTCCCCTGTTTTTGTTCCCCCCTCTCTAACTTCTCTCATACACACAGGCATTCTTTCTCCTCCTCCTCCCCTCCCCGAGTCACACTCTCTCTTGATGTCAATGAATTTAAGGTTTATTTTTCTTTGCTTATAAATAAATGGCTCAAAAGAACAGAAAGTTGATAGGAATGAGATGACAATTTCAGAAACAGAGTCATGGGATGCAGGGGGCATCCTTGGTCAAATAAACTGCAAGTAGAAGAAAGTCTGGGAGGAAAAATGAAGGAGGATGAAAAAAAAATGATGAAGGCATGTGTGGAGAAAGGGCAGGAAAGGGAAAAAACAGCCCAGAAAAGGTAAAAGAATAGGGAGGTGGACAGAGGATGATAAGATAAGGAAGGAGAAGGTTGCCAAATATAACTCCAAGGAGGGTTATGTGCTGCTGCTTATCACAGTGTTTGTTCATTGACACCATATTGATGTATTGTTTTGACGAATGTGCAAGGAGTGGTTAGGTATATAAATGTTTCACTGAGTAGGTGCTTTGAAATGCTCAACTTCTTCAAATAGGCGATACAGTGATAGCATTGTGCAATGGCGTGTGACTAATAAAACATTACAAAGTTGTTCTCTCTACTCCACTGAGACCTGATGGCCGTTTTGCTAGTAATAGTGTACTCACCACTGGGCGCGTGAGATAACACAGCTGAACATATTGTTAAGCGTTTCCCAAAGGAATGTATTCAGATGAATGCATGACAGGAAAGGCCAGCTGGACCTCTCTAGCCAGCATGAAGGTAGGGCCATGGGTGACAGGAACAATCTGAGCGTAACCATTTCTCTTAAGTCAGACAACGACTCTTTGATTCGAGGGAATCCCTGTTGCCACGCCAGGTGACCACAACACTGCCATAAATGGATAAACCAAGTCTAACTTTTATTACGTTCCTCTAAGTCTGCATTGCTTTAGTGAGTTTTGAGAATTCTGCTCAAATATCGGCCTTGTTCAAAGGTCATTTGGATCAAAGTTACTAATATTCTTTCTTATTATCTGTTTATTATTTTTGCCTTTTCAAGGTTTTTTTTTAATTACAGGTTGAGACAACTAGGCCTTTTTTCATCAAGGAATCTCCTGGCCTCTCTTTGTCAGAACCCAAGGAGCCTTGTGCCCCTCTCTGTAATTACAGCATAATTCATGAGAGGATTCTTTGTGCTGCCATGGTCCTTTATTCTCTCATATAATCTCATTATGTATATTTGCCCATGTGACTAATTCCTGATGTGAAATCCCTTTTCAAGTATGCTTCTGTGAAGATAAGGTGAAATGACTTGAGCAAGGTGCTATAATACCACTGTGGCATAAGAAATTAATCCACAGTATTACAGTAATGCTAAACTAATATCCCCAAATTGTATTCAATAAAATAAAATTGTAATAGTTTAAAAAAAGGATTAATAACTGGTAGGAAATCTTATGAAATGGTATCTTAGACTTATCTGTTGATCATATATGGGAATGAGTGTGAGGCAATTCCTCCTGAACAGATTCACAAAGGATTGCTCCATCTCTTGTTCTCTCTCAGTCTTGTTCTGATAAATTCTGAATTAGCCCGTTTCCCTGAACTCCTGAAGGACACAAAGTATTTTTCTCCAAATATTCTCATTTCTCATTTGCATGACTTGTGCATCCAAGAAATCAAGATGGATTATTTTAAAATTGCTCAATGACTCAACTACAGGAGACCCACTCATAGTTCAAAACTTCTGGCACCAATGTTTCCTGTTCTCAGAGGAAATTCCTTAAACCGAGGGTAGGTAGAGGAGGTAAATATTATCTGCAGAAATGTGCTGGATGCAGTTTAACATATTCCTTTACATACTCTGTCTCTGAAAATGTATTCTGCTTTGCTTTCTCTTTAATAACACGGGCCCAAAAAGCATTCCCATCTGTCTGATCGAGTTAATGTTAAGCACAAATTATTCCATCTCTCGGTGCTGGATGGACTGTAGACATTGCTTTTAGTAGTTGGTGAAGTATGTTGCTTCCTCCCTTTACTTTAAAGCTTTCACTATGATTAATGATGGAGTCGATCCCTCTCTTGCTCTCCTCTCCAGATGCAAACCCGTGTGCAACCATCCATTTACATGTCTTCCCCCATCCTATACCGCTCTCCCAGCACACAGGTCTACAGTGCCTCTGGGAGGATAGAAACAGGTAGTTAAAACGCGCAAGACAACATTATAGCTGCCATCCATTCACATCTTTCAACATCTCTGTCTTCTTTTCTTGCTGTTCGCACATGTTTTGGTCATTCCTTTTGACAAACTACGTCATGTTCCAGCTATGCCAACATCCAAATATTATATCTTTGTGTCCTCTTAAACCCTCCTAAAGTATGTTAATTACCAAATGCCTTCGAGATACATATTTTGGTAAGACATAATCGGTTATGTGACAAACCTTCACAATAATTTAAGTTTAGAGGATAGTTTTGTCATAAATTTGATACGACATAAGCACATATGTGAAAGGTTTCCAGAGCTTACTAATAGACGTTCATATTCTGTGGAATACAATGGATGTCTTGAATGGCAAAAAAATCAAACAAAATTAAAATGTAGTAAATGAGCTGATGTAAATCCACGGCTGTAGCCCTTTAAGTATTTCTTTATTCACAGTCAAATAAAAAAAATACTTTTTAACAAGAAACTGAAATTTGTATAAAAATAGAAAACATGAGGTGGAACTGAACCTCCTGTACTTTCAAATGTGTTTAAAATATTACCTCTCTCTAGTTCTGTCTTGCCATCTCTTGCGTAGCAGTGAAACAGATTTCTATCACTCTTTCATGCACAGGGCACCTTGTTTGCATTTAAAGACACTGACAGTGAAGATGAACCCGGTTGGCAGATTTAAAGCTAATCAGTAGCTAACATGAAATGGTGATGGCAGCGGTGGCAGACAAACAGGTGCTCAGGCACTAGGTGCAGTAATCCAGACATAATGAAAGATCCATCACTTCCCCACCTGTCTTGTGTGCGTGTCAATCCCTTGATTAGTTCCCTTTGACCAGGTTTGACCCAATGTGATTAATGAGGACCTCTCTGTCCTCATTAGCAGCCCAGTGTACACTCAAACAACCTGTTCTAATTTCCCCCCCCTAATTTGCTTCCTCTTTCTTCCTCTTTTCTAATTTACCCGCTCACCTGTTATTTTTTTCTTTTTCTTGCATTCATTCACCCACTCTCTTCTGTCCTGACCAATCCACCATCTCCTGTCATTAAGGATCAAAACTACAGCAGAAGTGTTTCTTGCTATGCTTATTATTTTTGTTTGATTTGAATGATCACCCTCATTAAGAGATTCTGGCAGCACGAAACAGGATTAAAATAGTCTGGCCCAATATACATCTAGGACGACTGAAAATATACATGTGAATCAAACATTAGATCACACAGGGTGATGTACTTAAGCTTTGACTTTGTGTGCTGCTTTTCTCGGTACATACCAATCAATAGATTCTTACAAAATAAAGGCCTGGATGAGTCATGTGAAGCCACACTCTGGGCTGTGCAGCATTTCATCTGCATAATAAAGCAGATATGACCATGCTTTCTTCTTGGATCCCCATTGGTGCTCTCACGTGTAGCATAAATTCACCATAAATTAGATCCCCATTGACACTCTACCATACAGCAAGCATGAATTCCCCACCAAAATGAGTCGGTTCAATGGCAGGAGGATACTTATGCATATATTTATGCATTTCAATTTGTGGAGGCACCTGCTGTACTTATTAAAATCTGATTCACAGCTCTGTATCTGTGATGTATTCCTCTCTTTCATTGTGTCACACTCAGGCTCTAGATTTTGCCGCTAAAAGTAAACACTTGCTTCTTTTACTCTCATGCTCAAACCACCCATTAAATGTTAATCATGTGGGACCACACCTCATTGCACTCACTGATACAGTCATTACTTGCACACATTTCACTTCTGTGTGTGCTGCAGCACTCTTTGCAATAAGTTTGTTTCCATAATACACCACCAGCCAGTGGACAGAACTCGCTGGGTTTGATGTTGAAGAAGGTCCAAGTCCCCTTATCAGCACTGATAAAGCCTGTTCATAAGACCACTGACTGTTTTCCTTGTTATGTATCATTAACCAGCATACCGGCGACAAGAGTGTGCCCTAAACAAAACAGGGCCTTTTTCATGTCACACAGCTGATAAAAAATTCAGAGTATTCCCCCCTGAAAGATGGAAACTGGGCCGTAAAAACAGGTCTGGAGGTTTGTAGTTGATATGGTCAGATCTTTGCTACATGATGAAATGAACGGGATGAAATGATCTCCCTGTTAGAGACCAGATTAAATTGACCATGAAAATAACAGTAATGATGATGATGATGATTTTTCCTTATGGGGGCAACAATCAGGGAAGTCATTTTGTGCATATAATAGATTAGAGCCAAACACACACAAAAAAAGACAGAAAGTGTATGATTAATGGAAAAAAACCCATTTAGAGCACTTTGTTTGATACAAACAGCTTCCTGCTCTCAGTCACAATAAATGATTCTACCGAACTGACAAATTATTTTAATTGCCGTTACATTATTGGAAACTGACAGAGATATTCAGGCTTTCAATGAGAATTAAAGTCTGTGTTTTTGCTGTGATCATGAGCATTGCTTCACTGTGAGGAGAAACTTTTCCATCTATATATAAAATAATTAGTTGTTCTGTTTTACACATCTTTTAAAAGTCAGGCAATAAATCAATGAACTTTGAAGAGACAGACTTGTGTGTACCATAAATACACAGCCGTTCAGGAACAACACATTTCCTTTTATCAAGAGCTTTGATTTGCCTTTTAAAATAAGGGCAGGACACACACACACACACACACACACACACAAACACACACACACACACACACACACACACACACACAAGGAAACAGACATACACACACACACATAAAAGAAGAGCACCCAAGGTGAGTATATGTCTTTTGTCACCTCTCACCTTGTTGTCAGTGCATGGTAAGCTTTCTCACGCGTGTCCTTTTCTCTTGGTGCGCTTTGCTTTCGTCAGTCTCGGTGACTATGGGACAAAGCATTAACAGCCGTCACCATTAGACAGTCCATTAACGTTACATGCTAGAGCAGATCACATTAACAACCTGACAGTTCCCCTGAGGTTTTTTAATCCACGGGAAAAAATAGCATTTACACATTTTTATCCATTAAAATAAATGTGCTGTACATACTGTATATGTTAACACACATTACATATGTTGAACTCAAGACTGAGAGGCATGGTAAATACATACGATGTACCACACTGTGTCTATTTATTTGTAAAATCAACTGAATGTGATAGTCAATCATTTAAAATAAACATATGCCAACATTCAGTGAAGCATGTGAAAATCATATATCAATGTATATGTTGTATAAGCTTTTTGATACGAGTATTATTTAATAAAGTATGTGGAACATTTTCCCAGCGTACCTAATGTATAATCTGTACATTCATTCATTTCAGTCATAGCTGCACTTTCCGAAACAGGTGTACTCTTATGGTACGGTTTCTAAAATAGATAATGTTTTTCCAACTCTTTTTCAGTATTATTAATTACAAATGAAATGTTTTTCTTTCTTTTTTAAATTTGTATTTTAGGAAAAATGAGACCTACAGTATAAATATAGTATAAATTGTGACATACTGAACACAGAGCTTCAGTTGTATATGTGTGTCTTGTGCGCAATCGAGAGATGTACAGAGAGATGACCTAGATTGGTCAGTAAACAAATCCATTCACAGACTATATGAACAAGTTTGAGCTCCTACAGACGACTGAGCTGTAAAGTGATTTTTATTGGAGGATTATAATTAGAAGTATTTGTACTAATATTAGTATTTATATCACAACCAGTATTAGTAATCAAATCAAACATTCACCACAGAGTAAATAAAAAGTACTTACTTATGATCCACTTCAGTGTGTGACAACAAGCTGTTAGATTTTTACCCAAATTCACATCTTCAGTGCTGTTAATCCAAGTCCTCTGTTCAGTGTAATATCAGCTGAATGAATTAAGAAGGATGCTCACACACTTAGTTTTTATTTTATTTCTGTCAGTGTGACAGCGGAGTTCTGCAGGGTCTGTGCAAATCCTTTGTGTGCTGGCTGACTGTATTTACCTTGCTTTGTTGGAGTTCACAAGTGTATTTCAGAGTAATCCATTTGATAGCCATGTGTGTCCCGGCTCCTTGTGCGTCACGTTATGCTCTCGCAATGTGCTGTGCCTCCAGGAGCACCAGCAGAAATGAATCTGAGCTCCCTCCGTCTGCTCTTACCTTCCCCTCCCTCCCCCACTATCCCCTCCTCCTGGGTCAACCAGCCTGTCCTCTAGGGCTGAGGGTGGAGCGTGCAGCAAGGAGTGGAGAGAGGGTGTTATACATACCTATGAAGTGTATGAGAGAGACAGAGGCAGAGAGAGAGAGTGAGAAAGAGAACGAGAGAGAGAGAGAGAGAGTGTGTGTGTGTGTGTGTGTGTGTGTGTGTGTCTGTGTGTGTGCGCGTGTGTGCAAACTTGTTTTGAAATTAATGTGTGTGTGTGTGTGTGTGTGTGTGTGTGTGTGTGTGTGTGTGTGTGTGTGTGGCAAACTTGTTTTGAAATTAATGTGTGTGTGTGTGTGTGTGTGTGTGTGTGTGTGTGTGTGTGTGTGTGTGTGTGTGTGTGTGCATGTGTGTGGTGTGTGTGTCTGTGTGTATGAATGTGACAAAGAGAAAGCAAGACAATAAAAGCTCCTCCCCTCATTGTAATGATTTATGGCTTGTGTAAGTCATTGATACATGCCACTAGTGTTTTTATTCAAAGCTGGCCCCTGTTTTGCACTCGCTTGCCTTCCATCATCTCCTTTGTTGCTGGTGGACAAGGGCCGGTGCACTTCCACCCATCCAGGAATGCCGATTGGCTGAGTCAGCTGGGCCAACAGCAGGTCACGCCCTTGGTTTACACACAGAGCAGTGAAGGTTAGTGCAAAGGTGGAAGAAAAATTGCTGTCTTTTAGTTTTAATGTCAAGGGTCTCTGTCTCTCACAGACACACGGACACAGACACACACAGACACACACACACACACACACACACACACACGTGATGGTAAGGAAATACAGTTGGCATGCATGCAAACTCTCACAGGTGTACACAATGAGTGAATTCATAGAGACAAGCATACATACACACGCAAAGTCTTATGCACGCACTTTGAACACATGCACACACAAACCCAAATGGTGGCGACGAACCCAAATTTATTTTGACAAGTAAATTGCAGCTTCCTCTTACTTTTTCCCCAAAAGCTGCAAATAACAAGGAAACTGTAGTTCATTGACATTTTACAAGTATTATATCATTCCCAACTTGCCCCCAGCAGCAAACACACTGACAGACACCATGCAATACCCATGGGACACTCACTGTCTGTCTAGCCCAAAGCCATTGATCCCTGTCCAGCAGAGACTAAATTGTCCCATGATGTCAGAAAACCTGGCTGTTTTTCTCTAGTGGTGCCGCCAGGTTCACATCAGATGTCTTGCTCAGTCAAAACCATTCTGTCATGCCATTGAGGAGGTGGGTCTGTAAGCTCCCTGAGAATCACTCTAATATGATTGTCCTGGCTCCTCTGGTCTTAGAGGACGTTTTGTCACAAAGCGGTAAAGCAGCAAAATTAATCCCCAATCCACTTTGGTCGTTCAACAGATATGACATGACAACTGATGAGCAAGATAGGAGGGAAGGAGTGGCAACAAAGAGAAAAGGCTGCACAGTGAGATCACAGACAAAGCTCTGATTTAGTTTTAGTTTCATGATTATGAAAATAACCTCTTTCATAAGGTAGAACATATCTTGCACATCATGTTCAGTAAGAGAGCAGTATTGACGTTTGAAAGGAATGTTTAGACCTTTAAATATCTCAATCTATGACAACCTTTTCCTCTGAGATTTCTGGCTGGACATTCTCCCACATGTTGGGACTTATTTCCAGCTCCTAGTATCGTGCCAGAAATAAAAATGACAGCTGTTTTCCTCTGAGAGGGAGTCTCTTCTGGAAAGACCTTTTGATGACTCTTCTCAGGGACCTCTTCATTCGTGCAGAGGTGTTGACAATTATGAAACATCTTGCATTGAGGTTGTAGCCGTGCGGTCAATCAGGGGCCCTCTTCTGCCTGGAGAAGAAAAAGACGGAGACAGTCCTGGAACAGACTGAAGTGAATCCAAAAACAGCCACTCAGTCAAGTTCACTTTTCAGTCCAAATTGTTTGGCTTCATCTCTTTGACTCTGTCAGAGACCACAAACATGGCTACCATCAACCTCAATAGAGAGAGATGAGGCTTAACTGAATGTTCACTCCAAGGAACAAAAAGTCCAACAGAGTCATTTTTCTTCCTGTAGGACGGCTTGAATTAGGCCATGCCTTAGGTTAAGAAGAGCACAGAGCGAAGAACAACACCTGGTCTGACAAAGTTGGCACAGAAAAGTTAAGGAACATCTGAGGGAATCATTAACTGTCAGACGACCCATGAATAACAGAGAGGGATGAAGAATTTGGGATTCATCTTGTGTGAATCCATAATAACAAGCAAAAGATACTGTGGGAGATTACTTTGCCAATAAAGTGCAGTTTTATTTCTATCAAAGGCCCTATTACTGCCATTACTCTCAGAGCTCTTTTCCATAAGATGCTACAAGCATGAATCACTTTTGCAAACCTGTCACTGACGGTTAAAAAAAGACATTCCACTTCCATTTTGATGAGCCACAGAAGTAAAATGTTTTATTTAAGTAACTGTATCCATACAACAATAGAATAGTACTTAAATTATATTGTTGGTTCATTCAACTATATAATATTAAGGTGGCAGCAGAAATCTGAGATGGATAGTTAAATATCACCAGAGAAAATGTGTTTGCTTTTTTAGTAATTTGGCTGAACCCACCAGTTTGTGTATCAAGCCTGTACTGAATGTAGTAGCTGTATTACAGTGGAGTTGGAGTTGAATGTACTTAAAGGGGAACCACAGATTTTACAGTCTGTTTACAGATCTTGGTGAGTAATACGTGAGAAAAGTTGTATAAAGTCCTCCAACAGTGTTGGTTGGGGCTGAAGGCTACAAGTTTGAAAATAACGGTAAAAATTAGCTTACAAGACCTCTGTAGCCTTCTCCTCATGCTTGAGGTTAATGGCTTGAGGCTACATTGGCCACTACTGGCATAAGACACCCGCATCTGTCAGCAGTTGATTTGCATTGTGGGCAATGTAGATGCCAGTTTTTGAAGAATGTGTGGAATAAAAAATTTGGCTATCTTGCTGCTGCTTCAGTTTTCATCCTTGAAACTGTCCAACAATGTTATAAGAGTGCAGTGTTAAATCAGTCGAGTAAAAGTATTAGCTTGTGTTTAGTTTTTATTATTTCATTTCTGTTTTTACATTTTTATTCTCTCTTAAATTAAAGGACCTGTGTGTTTGATTTAGTGGGACCCCATATATAGAGCCAGTTTGGTTTGTCCGTTCTGGGCTACGGTAGAAACATGGCGATTCAACATGGTGGACTCCGTGGAAAAGGACCCGCTCTCTCTGTAGTTAAAAACGTCTCATTCTGAGGTAACGAAACATTTCTTAGTTTCGAGTGATTATACACTTATGAAAACATACCTATGAATATTATACTCCCTTTCTGCCAATAGATCTACCTGAATGTTACACACTGATCCTTTAATTCATTTTATTCATTTAAACATTGCCTTATTTATTTATTTTTTTTATTATTATTTAATTGAAATGTGCACTAGTGGCAAGAGTTTGTATCATTTTTAGGAGCTTATCAGATGTTTATCATGACACACAAACTCCATTTTATGAGGTAACTACAGCTGTGAGAACAATGTGGGGAAGGAAAGACACTTATTAATGAGGCACTTTGGCTAGACATAATACTGTTGTTGGGATCAAGTTTGTGGTCTCTGAGCTACAAGTGTTCTGTAAACAAAAGCCCTGATGCTAGAAAGTGCGAACATTGTGAATAGGCATCTTGTTTACTTTATGTCCAGTTCAAAAAGACAGACTGTCCATGACATCATCTGTATATGAAATTTCAAAGCATTAAGCGTGGAGTGGTGAATTAATTCATCATCTCATAGCAAGCTCTGCATATGGTCACAGTATGATAGCCATGACCACTTTTCATAAAGGAATACAGCTATTATCTCTGTGTGCTTTGTCATTCTAATAGCTGTAGAGGACATAGATGAATAAGCTGAATGGCAGACCTGTGATTCTCACTGCCAAGTTAGATGTTAATGGAGGCTTCTGAAGACGGATCTGATCCACTGGCCCTCGCAGATACAGATGGATCGCAGAGGGATGTCAAATAGATAAGAGAAATGACTTGTTACACCAAGCAGTGTTGTATGAACACGATCCAAATCTTTCGCCAACAACAGTAAATTCCATATTTTCTGTGCATCCAAAGTATATGTGGGAGAAGAAGAGAGACAACTTGTGAGAAAATGAAGACATGAATAAATGTATGTAGGCTCCATACGTGCATGTGGAATGTCATGTTAAACAGATTTGGATCTCTCTGTTCCAGGAATTTTGAATGGATTAATGAATATTGGCTTTGTAAACCCAGCCTATTTCTGATCCATAGTTTTTTTGCTCCGCACATGCCAGCTGTCAAAGTCACTTTCCTTTTAAAAACTTTTACAGACCATTGTGAGCATCTTTTTGCCCTTTATTCCAGAAACATTTTGCATGAGGCCAACTTTCCTGCCACAAGAATTCCACACGGACACCCCTCTCTCCATAGATGCGCACAACACTGGGGTCCTGAGAAACGGCCTCTTCTGCAGAAAGGTCTGAGGGTTCAAGAATTCAAACCTGTTTTCTTCTCTCATCTTTCTCATCTATTCCTTCTGCTTTTTGTAGCCCCTCACTTTTACATTTAGTGGTCTGTTTTTTCTGCTGAATCTGTCAGAGCCCCCTTACTGCTAGATGGCTGTGATGGATTTTCTGTGTGCACAGCAAACATACAAAAGGCTCAGATAAGGGAAAGATAAACAACAAAGCAAATATATTGACAGAAAACAGGAGACAAGAGAAAATAACCAGGTGGAGAAGACACACAAAAGAGAGGAAAGAAAAAAAACTGAAGAAAATCAGCGAAAGACAAGATGGTAAACAATTGGGGAACCAATGCTTTCATGGTTTTAACTCAGCATAAAGATGCTTTTGAAATGTTTTGTTTTGATCCACTAATGAGAGTCATGTTTAAGGATGTACCATTTGAACCGTCAATCAAGGGAGGCTGCAAGCCTGCAACAAAAACAAACATTGAAAGCTCTCTGCCCCAGAGTGTTTTTCCTCCCTCCTTTCCTCGGCACACACTATCTGTTCATCCATCCTCCCCAATCCTGCATCCCCTCAGTAGAAGCGGTTGGGAACAGGAAAAATGGGATAGGCTTTAATTCAAGCGTAAACGATGGATAGAAGTAAGAGGAATGGTGGATATCTGCATCCTGGAGAAAGAAAAACACCATCAGGAGAAAGAATTAGAGGGATTAAGTCGAAAGGAAGGGAGCAGGGTAAATTAGGGGAGGGGGGAACTATCTGCCAGTGTTTAGTGAAGAGAAAAAAAGACATGGGAACACTGGTGATGTCACAGCGAAATAAAGTGCACAGTTCAGGAGTATTGTACCCGTGGAGCCTTGAATGTGGTCTTCCAGAAAACAGACTGTAAGCCCAACGTGATGGTTGTGGGAGGCAGTGTGGTTGTGTGTGTACACAGAGCGTGTACATGAGTGAGCAGCACAGTGTGCCGCATGTTTCCATACAGATGGAAGTTTGTTTAGAGTAGCCTGAGTGTGAAAAGTGAGTATGCAGATGGAGATGCAGATGTGGTGAATAGCACTCTGTGCGCTTCGGGGGTCTCTGGGATAAACTGGCAGTGTCAAGACGTTTTTTTTTTTTTTGCCCTACGAATTTCCTCCACTTTCTCAATGTCAGCCAACACCCCTACTGGATTTGGACTCACAACTTGTTTTGTGCATCCATGACCATATATTGCATCTGTATATACATTATCTATGCATGTTCACATCGATGGATCTGCATGTACTTATGAATGTGTGTGCACCTGAACGTGTATAAAGGATTGCGCAAATATTTCAGGCCCCCAGACCAAAAAGCCTTTGGTATTGTAGGACGGTTTTTATTGTAGTGAGCTTTAGATGTGCTGTTACCTTTGTTTCCTGTTTACAGTCTTTATGCTAAGCTAAGTTAGCTGGCTGCTGGTGGTATTATGATCTTCAATGGACAGACATGAAAGTAGTATCAATCTTGTCTTCTAACTCTCCACCATAAAGCGAGTTTTAAGTATATATTCCAAAATGTGGGTTATAAATATAAACTTGTCCTTTAATATAATTCAATAAGATTTTTATTTGCATAGACACATCCCATGCTCTATT